GAGCAGGTGGAACTCTGCAGCCATTTCCATGGCACAAAATATTTTGTTTTTGTGAAAACAGTAGTCTAGTTGCACGCTTTTGACATAAGCTGACAAATCTGAACCAACTGTGCAAAAAGGATTTTTTTTTTCCTCCCACCTTTTCTAGATCCGTGCGTCGATTTCTGGATGTGGACTCTTTACTCTTGCATTTTAGATTGACAGCAGATGGGCAGGTTCAGCTGAAGATAGCCTCTGGTCTGTGTAGGAAAAATTGGACTTAAAAGCGGGATTAGGCCATTTGGCCATTTCAGTCTGTTTCACCATTCAATAAGATCATGGCTGATCAGATTGAGCTTTTGACCCCACTTTCCTGTCTGCCCTTCATTGCCACTGACTGACATGTTTATCAAAAATCTATGTAAACCTGCCTTCAGCACATTCAAATGATAAATTCCACAGACTAACAAATCAGAGAGAGAAAAGAAACCTTCTCCAACTTGAATGACATGTTATTCTTAAACCATGTCCCATTAGTCTTACTTTTCCTCCTCAAGAGGAAGCATCCTCCCTGTATCGAACAGGAAGAGTCCCCTCAGGTTGTACAGTGATGGTCAGCAACCTGTTTGAATATGTTATGACACACCTCCCAGGCAGATGAGACTTGAACCCAGACCTTCTGTTCCAGAATTGGGACACCAATACTGCATCACAAGAGCCCCCTAATAAACTAACAGGAGCAGGAGTCACCCCTTCAAGCCTGCACCGCTAGTCAATAAAAGCAAGGTTGATCTGATGTAGGCTTAATTTCACTTTGCTGCCTGCCCATCTTGACTTGCTTTTCAATCAAAAATCTGGCTAAAATAGTCTTAAATATATTCAAAGGTCCTCCTTCTACTGTTTTTATTGGATAAAAGAATGTCAAATGTTAACGCTATTAATTTCACAATCCTTCATGCTGATTTAGAAGGAGACACACACAGTTGCTTTGTCCTTTCACTCAGTACCCAGATGCCTGGCAGAAAGTTCGTAATTCCAGCAAGCTGCCAAGCAAAATATTACCATGATTAAATTAGCAAACCGAACTAACATTAGATACTGTTTATTGCTATACCATAGTAAGTTCTGGCCTAAAATATTGCTGGTTCTTCAACCGCATTGAAGAAACTGGATGTATGGAAGCAAAGATAGTAGGAACTGCAGATGCTGGAGAATCTGAGATAACAAGGTGTAGAGCTGGATGAACACAGCAGGCCAAGCAGCATCAGAGGAGCAGGAAGGCTGACGTTTCGGGCCTAGACCCTTCTTCAGAAATGGGGTAGGGGAAGGGGTTTCTGAAATATATAGGGAGAGAAGGGGAGGCGGATAGAAGATGGATAGAGGAGAAGATAGGTGGAGAGGAGACAGACAGATCAAAGAGGCGGGGATGGAGCCAGTAAAGGTGAGTGTAGGTGGGGAGGTAGGGAGGAGATAGGTCAGTCCAGGAAGGACGGACAGGTCATGGGGGCGGGATGAGATTATCAGGTGGGAGATGGGGTTGGGACTTGAGGTGGGAGGAGGGGATAGGTGAGAGGAAGAACAGGTTAGGGAGGCGGGGACGAGCTGGGCTGGTTTTGGGATGTGGTAGGGGGAGGGGAGATTTTGAAGCTTGTGAAGTCCACATTGATACCATTGGGCTGCAGGGTTCCCAAGCGGATTATGAGTTGCTGTTCCTGCAACCTTCGGGTAGCATCGTTGTGGCACTGCAGGAGGCCCAGGATGGACATGTCGTCTGCGGAATGGGAGGGGGAGTTGAAATGGTTCGCGACTGGGAGGTGCAGTTGTTTAGTGCGAACCGAGCGTAGGTGTTCTGGAAAGCGGTCCCCAAGCCTCCGCTTGGTTTCCCCGCTGTAGAGGAGGCCACAATGGGAACAGCGGATGCAGTATACCACATTAGCAGATGTGCAGGTGAACATCTGCTTGATGTGGAAAGTCTTCTTGGGACCTGGGATGGGGGTGAGGTTAAAGTTAAAGGAGATGGTAGGATTGCAGGTTATTGATGAGGTTGATTGTTACCAGAAAATAAAAGGAAGAGACAGAGTGTGTGAATGTCATACTGTACCAAATATAGGGAATTTTGATAATAGAATAAATATAAAGATGTTGTACCTTAATGCATGAAGCATTCAGAATAAGATGGATGACTGATGGCGAAAATAGTCCTAAATGAGTATGATCTCATTGCCTTTACAGAAATATGGTAACCCACAGACCAAAACTAGGAAATTAACTTTTAGGGATATTGGACCTTTTGGAGAGACAGGACCGTAAGACCATAAGATATAGGAGCAGAATTAGCCCATTTGGCCCATTGAGTCTGCTTCATCATTCAATCATGGCTGATATGTATCTCAACCCCATTCTCCTCCCTTCTCTGAATAACCTTTGATCCCCATAGTATTTGTAAACCTACCTGTCTCTGTCTTAAGTACACTCAATGACTTGGTCTCCACAGTCTTCTGTGATGATGAGTTCCACAGATGAACCACTCTTTGGCAGAAGTAATTCCTCCTTATCTTAGTTCTAAAAGATTGTCGCTTCACTCTGAGGCTGTGCCCTTCTTATCTTCTGCTAATGAAAATGCCTTCTCCACTTCCACTCTATCCAGGCCTCTCAGTATTGTGTAAGTTTCAATGGGATCGCCTCTCATCCTTCTGAGCTCCATTGACATAATAAAGACAGAGAAAATAAACTACGAGGGCAAACTAGCAAGAAGTATGAAACTGACAATGTAAGCTTCTTTAGATATATAAAAAGGAAGTGAGAGATCAAAGTGAACATAGGCCCCTTAGAAAATAAATCTGGAGAGACGGTTTTGGGGAACAAGGAAATGGCAGAGGACTTAAATAGATATTTTATATCAGTCTTTATTATGGACAATATTCCATTAATAATAAAGAGTATGGTGGGGTGAATTAAGTACCATCACCATCATTAAAGAAGTATAGACATGGGAATGGACTAAAGGCAAGTAAGTCTCCTGGCCCTGAGCTTGCTAGGATTCTTAAACAGGTAGCCATAGAAATAATGGATCCATTGGTAGTAATTTTCCAAAATCTGTTGGATTCTAGAGAAATACTAGAGGACTGGAAAACTGCTAATGTGACAGCCTTATTCAAAAAGGGAGGGAGGTAAAAAGCAGGTAACTATAGGCTGATTAGCCTAACACCTATTGTTGTAGAGGTATTGGAATCAATTATTAGGAAGTAGTTGCAGAACATTTAGAAAATCATACTCTATTCAAGCAAAGTCATCTTGGATTTATTAAAGGGAAATCACGTCCGATGAATTTTTTAAAAGTTTTTGACAAAGTCTCAAATAGAGTGGATAGAGGGGCACCAGTTGATGTGTTGTATTTGGACTTCCAGAAGGCTGTCGACAAGGTACACACAAAAGGTTACATCATAAGACAAGAGCCCATAGTGTTGGAGTTAGTATATTGGCATGGATAGAGGATTAGCTATTGGGCAGGAATCCACGGGTGGGAATAAAGGGGTTCTTTATCAGGCTGGCAACCCTTGACCAGTCAGGTTCTGCAGGGATTAGAGCACAGACCACAATTGTTTACAATATATATTCATGACTTGGAAGGAAGGAAGTGAATGTACTTAGCCAAATTTGTAGACAATGCAAAAATTGGTTGAAAGGCAGATTGTGAGAGAAATACAAACATTGATATATTGATAGGTTAAATAGATGGGCAAAAAAATGGAGTAGATGTGATAAAGCATGAAGTTGTTCACTTGGGAAGGGAGAACAAAAGAACACTATTATCTGGACAAAGAAAATTGTGCAGAAATCTCCAACACAAAGGGTTTTGGGGATAATTCTGCATAAAACAGAGGAAGTTATCACAAGGAACAGCAGATAATCAGGAAGGCGAATGGAATGTTAGCCCTTATTTCAAGGGGTTACTGTATAAGAGTAGGAAAGTCTTACTACACATGTGCAACGTGCTGGCGATACCATATCTGGAGTACTGTGAGCAGTTTTTGTTCCCTTATTTAAGGAAAAATATCATTTCGTTGGAGGCAGTTCAGAAAACATTTTCACTAGCATAACACTGGTATGGAGGGATTGGCTTATGAGCAAAGATTAAACAGGTTCGGGCCCCACTTACTGGAAGGTTCCAATACCTCTCCAACAATACCTAGGATTCATGATAGGATAAATGCTAAGAGAATGTTTCCCCTCAAGGAAGAGTCTAGGATCAGAGGGCATAGTCTCAGAGTAAAGGGATGCCAATTTAAGACTACAATGAGGAGGAATTTCTCCTTTCAGAGGGTTGTGAGTCATTGGAACTCATAGCCACAGAGCGCTGTGAGGGCAGAGTCCTTGTGTCTATTTAAGGCTGAGATAGATAGATTCTTGATCTGTAGGGGAATCAAGGGTTATGAGGAAAGTGGATATAAGGAATGCCAGATCAGCCATGGTCCTGTTGAATGGCAGAGCAGGCTCAAGGAGCTGAATGGCCTATTCCTGTTACTATTTCTTATGGTCTTACAGCTTCTTTGGAACTCTGAAGAGTGGGACTCAAAATGTTAGCTCGTTTTCCTCTCTCCACAGATGCCGCCAGGTCTGCTGAGTTTCTCCAGCAATTTCTGAGTACAGATCAGATCTTCAGTTTCAGTAATATTTTTACTTTCACAATTAATCAATTACTTGTTTCAGCCACCTTTGCATGATTCCTGCTATTGTATTGTCAGACTAAAAATTGTATTCACAATGATTTTAATTTCTTTTAATTGCTAATAAAAATACAAAGTTCAGTTTTGTGAATGTAAAACACCATACTTTATCTGTTAGAAATGATTAACATGACAGAGGTAAGGGAAAGAGATGTTCTCCAGTCAATATTCCTGACATTCGGCACAGCTTTTAAAATGAAAGCCCTTATTTTTCTAAATATTGTCCTTGTGTTTTTTAGCTTCTAAATGAATCCCACATGAAGAAAATATGTTTGATTATTCTTTCACCCTCAGGCGTCTTGCAGGAAATGACTTAACACACATCCCCCTGGGAGCATTTGCTGGTCTTTACAATCTTAAAGTCCTGTGAGTAAACTCTTCTTTTATTTGAAACCTTTGCTGCTTAGGTAATTGTTTTTTTGAAGCACTGAACAAAAAAAAAGCCAAAAATTTTAAATCATGTAGAATATTGTGTTCAGGTTCGTAAGGTGTTCACATGCTCAAATTAAACTCGATTATTGGAAAACTGTTGCCAAACAACTCATTATGTATTACTATATGTTTAGCTGTAAGAATACATGCCCCATCAGAAATTTCTCATTCAGCAAAAGGAAATGACCTCTCAAAAATATGTGTGTTTCTGACCATCACAGACCCTGGGATTGGTGCTGCATTGCAGGAGACTAGAAGCAAGTCTACTTTGTCCATTTCATTGGGCCTAGAGTTCAAATACAATGCTGTAGGCTGTAAATACAGGATAAGCAAACTTAATTTCTATTGATTGATATTTTCAGGGTTAATACTATGTTTTGTGATTGAATGTGCTAGCATTAAGACACCTACTTACTGAGGTTTGTTCACTGTAATTTTGCTGAGAATCAAGTGTAACTTTTTGTGAGTGTGGACTTTATAAAACTGTGTGAAATTATCATATAAAAATGACATTTGGAAAAATGTGTTAAAGATTATTTTGTTTAAGAATCTGCTTCTGCTGAGTGACATGGCACTTTATCAATATCAAACTTCCAAAATTTATTTCTTAGTGCCTTAAGAAATTAAATTAGAGATTTTGTTGTGCATGTTTAGAACAGAGTATCACCTAATAAAGCAGTAAAGTAATGCTTGCCACAAATAATCAACGTGAAAGAGAGCACAATGCAGTGTATTTTCATAGTTGAATGCTATTTGAAACTGACAGAAATTTGAGCTATGATCATTAATCATCATTGCTCTGGCTAGTAAGGAAATATTTGTTTCACCTAAATAAAAAGTAATTCATATTGCCTAGGGACAAAAGTTTAGTATACATACTCCCGTGATAGAAATGAAAAAGGTGTTTGTCAGGCAAATGATTGTTGCAGAGAATGTATTTGGTTTCTGCAAAGGAAATGGGATAAAGTGTGAACAGAATTGATCGTTGGTGGTGACCGCGGCTACACTTTGAGGACAGCTTGGATTTTGTTGGTACTTAGAGAAATTGAGAGGCGGGATAATAATCCTGATCCACGTGCTTGTACGGTTTTTTGGAGCGATCACAACATTGGCTAAACTAATAGGTTCACTTTCCATTGGTGAGTTAAGCTTTGTCAGTTTTCTCTTACAAGAGAGAACAAAAGAAATAAAGAGACTTGTGTTTATACAGGACTTAATTTCCTCTCTGAGGTACATGCCAAAATGTGGAACAATTCATTATTTTGAATTGCCCATCACTGCTGTTATACAGGTTGATGCAGCAAATATTTCCTATATAAAGATTGACAAATTATTTGAAGGAGACATCTTCACTGATCATCTTATCCTATTAAAATGTGTTAATGTTACAAAATACTTACAACCAGGGTGATCAACACAAATGGTGAAAGAAAACACTATCATTTATGGTAAGAGAGAGGAAAACAGATTTTAGATATATATTGAAGACAATTTATCCTAAAGTTTTCAAATGAATTTGTTATAATATAAATGCAATAATTTTGTGATAAATTCTAAAAGCACCTCTCCAAATTATTGATTTCAGTCAAAATTGATGATCGCAGTTATGGGCACTTTCAGATCCTACTGGTAATTGTCTAAGACAAGCAGTGAGTCTTGGTACACAAACAGAAATTGCTGGAAAACCTCAGCAGGTCTGGCAGCATCTGTGGAGAGAAAGCAGAGTTAATGTTTCAGGTCCGGTCATCCTTTTTCAGAACTGATTTCTGCTTTCTCTCCACAGATGCAGCCAGATCTACTGAGGTTTTCGAACAAATTATGTTTGTGTTTCTGATTTTCTGCAGTTTTTTTTTGTTTAATCCATTTTGGTTATGTATAATGAAATTCAAGGTTTTCCTGTTTTCCTTCATCAAAGTATAATGATTACTTTAAAATTCTTATAACATCAGTATCATACTCCCAGTTTGGAGTTTCAATGATTGCTGTAGAATTGCTAATCCCTATGGTTTTGTTGATGCTAAGTGGATTATATCAGCATGGGCCATGTTTAAAAAGTAGTCACAATTGTAATGGAGAGAAATGCAACAACCATTGCAAGTACAGTAAGATCCCAGATGCTGCAATGAGATAAAGAGCCATAATTTGTTTTATTGATATTGGTTAAGAGCCAAATATTGCAAAGGAACTTCCCTGCCTTTCTTTGAGAAGTAGCAAATGTGTTGATTGTGTATTAATTGTCTTCAATTATATGCAGGTGTTGGGCATTCACTCAAATGCTTATGATTAACAAGTAGATTAAATTAACTTAAATATTTATGAAGTGATATTGATTGAAACTGTAAATGGTTGAGTTTGGAGCTATATGCTTGTATTCTTTTTTCCAACCTATCCACCCTACCCACCCCGGCTCCTCTTGAGATTTTCTTGAGGTCAGCTTTTTAATTTTTGAGTTCTAACTTTTAGTATTTTGGGAATCACATTTCCATTCTCACCTTTGTCTATTAAATACTATTAGAACTTAACAATTCAACTAGTTCACAGACCAGAATGGCTATACATGGTTTTGCCAATGGGATTGGTCTGGTTAATTTGTGTGCCTTGTAATTATCACCTTGATGCTGTATTAAGACAGTAATTCTTCCATCTTCCATCTTCAACCTATCAACATTTGGAAGTTTCACTAATCAAAATGATTTTCATTTCTGACATTCTGTTGCAAATGAAAAGTGAATTTTAAAAATCTTAATACTTGAGATGAGGGCATTGCTGGCTAGGCCAGCATTTAATGCCAATTCCAGAGGTGGGGTTAAGAGTCAACATTGCTGTGAGTCTGGAGTCACATTTAGGCCAGACCTGGTAAGGATGGCAGTTTCCTTCCCTAAAGGACATTTGTGAACCAGATGGGTTTTTCCTGACAACTGATTCATGGTCATCATTACAGTATTTCATTGAATTCAAATTCCACCATCGGCTGTGGCAAGATTTGAATCCAGGTCCCAAGATTAATCGCGCAGCAATAATACCACTAGGCCATCACTTTCCCTATGTATCCATGACAAATGCAGATTACAGAGCAATCACCACTCTCACTTATTTCAAACCACATCAAACCAGAAACCATTTGGTCATAGTGCTTTGTTTAACTGCACAGCACACTCCACCATTAGTGAGGCAAATAGAAATAGTATTTTGCAAGATAATGCCTGAGAGTTTCCTCAGGAATGCCTTGGAAAACTGGGTCTAGTTTTTACACAGGTGTAAACAATAATTAATAGCTATACAGTTGTAACATTTGTCAGACTTTTGGAACATTGTGCGCAATTCTGATCTCCCTGCTATAGGAAGGATTTTGTGAAACTTGAAAGGGTTCAGAAAATATTCACAAGGATGTTTCCGGGTTTGGAGGGTTTGAGCTGTAGGGAGAGGCTGAATAGGCTGGTGCTATTTTCCCTGGAGCATCAGAGGTTGAGGGGTGACCTTATAGAGGTTTATAAAATCTTGTGAGGCATGGATAGCGTTAAAAGACAAGGTCTTTTCACCAGGGTGCGGAAGTCCAAAACTAGAGGCCATAGGTTTAAGATAAGAGGGGAAAGATTTAAAAGGGACCTAAAGGGCAACTTCTTCACACAGAGGGCGGTGTGTGTGTGGAATGAGCTGCCAGAGGTGGAAGCTGGTACAACTACAACATTTAAAAGGCATCGGGATGGATTTATGAATAGGAAGGGTTTTAGAGGGATATGGGCCAAATGCTGGGAAGTCGGACTAGGTTAATTTAGGATATCTGGTCAGCATGGACAAGTTGGACCGAAGTGTCTGTTTCCATGCTGTACAACTCTATGACTCTATGATTATGAGCTTTAACTTCCTTTGAATTCATTCTGTCACCACTTTTCAAACAAAAACATGTTAGGTATACACAATTAAACAATTTTTTTTTGAAATTTTAATGGTTATTTGTGGCGATTGCCAATGAGATATTTTCCATTAATTAATCATTGCAGTTTTGTGCTTTAGGATTCATATCTAAACTTGTAACTTAAACTGCAATAAATAAAAACTTATTGTGAATTGTAACTTGGTGAAACAGCACAGAGCTTAAGTTTCAATGCTCTAACAAGTTCCCTTTGAATTTTCCAAATAAACAGCATGTTGCAGAACAACCGCTTGGGGGCAGTTCCTGAAGAGGCACTACAGAACTTGCAAAGTCTCCAGTCACTGTAAGTGTAACTGTAACACTGGATAAATGCTAAGCAGACATGTCAATAAATAATGGAACAGAAAACTAGTCCACTTTTGCCTCAAAATCCCATTTGACTTGCGGTGTCCCAAGTTTATTATACATCAAATCCAAAAGTTTAGGACAAAACTACCTCGTCCTTTGTTCTATCATGCCAGGTATCAGACCTGGCTGAGAAAGTTGGAGTACCATTTCTTGACCGTCATCAACATCACCCCGAAACCAAGCACAAGTGACTCTCTTTCTGATGTGTTCCACTTCCTCTCTGTGAGGAATGCTTGGCCTTCAGCTGACATTTGGAAATTTGAGAGAGATTGTAACCACAGTCAACAAAGAGCAGCAGATGGGAGCTCACATCCCTCCTGAGCAATCCCAATATGGTACCTAGGCTGATGGTTGTACACTGATGTTCACTTCTACAGGAATCACTTTTACCAGTAAATCTCACTCTCCTTTAGCTTGTGTAAGCAAGGGGAGTGGCATTACTGTATGTTATTAGGCTAAACCTACCTGAAATGGATATACATGTATTTTCCAAATATACATTAATTTTCGCTCATGCCTTTAAAGTCTTCTTCTTTGATGGGAATTCAGCAAAATGTTGCATTAAGTCTTTGGTGCTAGAAGAACAATTTTCCTGTCTTCGAATGTTGTGGATTTTGGAAGCCCAAAAAGTGAACTTTCTTGAAGATTTTCCAACCTTTGGGAGGCCCACCATAGGAAGCATGCTGAGGGATCTAGCACACACTGACAAATGTTAAATGCTTTAACACCATCTACTGTTATTATTAGATACTGCACTATAATATAGATGTATTTTAATGGAATTATTATTCACAGGGCGGTGTCCTACAAACAGTGAATTGGAAAGCACTGTCTAAGTACTGCCATGCATTTTGGTGTTTTTCCCAGTGTAGCAAGTTGTCATGATGCATTCTCGACAGAAGAAAAATGGGCATGGATACCCTCCTGTCATGGTTTGGACTAAGATCTAGACATTGAAATGTTTTTTACTTTGAGCTTTTTAAAAAAATATTTTATATAATTTCCATTCAATCAAATGTTGATTGTAAAATACCAAAGAAAAATACAGGTGGAGGAGAGGCCAGAATAAAGCATAGGTGTGATAACCTTACTGATGCTGGTTTACCAGTCTCAGGCATAAAGCATAGCTTTGGTCACAAAGTTACAGAAGAAAAGTAGGCCCTTCTTTCAAGATTAGAGGACAAAAGTAGACAAGGAGAAGGGGATTATCTGATTGTTAATTTGGTGCAACAATAAAGAAGGAGAAGGGTTTAGATTATTGGAGATTGAGTGACAGAGGCATTACAAAATAGCTGGAAAATGTAGCAGGAGACGACTCAAAGCTTATGTTATTTGCACAGAAGAGGCTGTCAGGATTGTACAGCTCTCTGTCGTATTATCCAGCTAATCCCATTCTTCTGCATTTCCCTCAAGTGTCCTTCTGAAATTATTGATTATCACTGTTTCCGCCACCTCCATCATCATCAGTTTCAAGATCATTAACTTCACTGGGTAAAAAAGAATTCCTGACATCTTCCCTGCATTTTTTTGACCAGAACCTTAAATCTGTGTCTCCGGTCCTTGTACCATCACCTAATGGAAATGCTTCCTTTGTCTAACTTTTCCAAACCTTCCTAACACTGTATACCTCTAACAAATCTCCCTTCAATCACTGCACTCCCCTCAATCATTGTATTCCAAGGAGACCATACTTTCTTTAACCTCCAACCTAACTTCATAGCTAAATTCCCTAATCCCTTTTACAGTAAATCCCCTGTGCATTCTCAAAGACCATCATATTCTTTCTGCATTGAGGTGATCAGAATGGAGTACTGTCAGTATAGACAAGTTAGAGCTTAATTTGTACTTAATACGTTTATGAAGCCCAAAATATCATATACAATGCTAACTTACACTGCATGATGTTTGTTGGTCTCAAGTGATGGAGAAATAATTGATCTCCCCAGTCCCCAGTTAGGGAGAATGAAATAAAATGGTCAAGAACACCAATATTGATTGATTTCAGAAATCCACAATGCATGTACAAATATAAACATTAGTTTAGACATAGAAGGGATGTTACCGATTAAATAGTTCACTGGCACTCCCATGTGAAGAAAGAGCACTTTTGTAGGGTGAACGAGGCTGCCTGATGCTCATGGAATAATACTGTAGGAAGGGGTCAGTGCTTTCAAAAGAGGACAAAAGGAGTAAAAGTCTTCAATACTTTTTCTTTTTGGGTAGGTTAAACAATCATTCCAGATTCTGCAGAGGTCTACTTTCAGGTAACATAGGCTGAACTTGTAAAGAAGAATCTTATACTGGGTGTCTTTTGTCAAAGCTTATTGTGGAAAAGAAAACAGACAGCTTTCCTTGTCTGCGGCTGTTCATGGTCAAATTATTCAAGATATCTTCTGTTCAGAGATAACTCCAACAAAACAAAGAGTTCATTGTTAATTTTTCAGACTCTGAGGCATGTTAAACGGAACTTTGTTCGAAATGACATGACAGCTTCATTTTATTCCCCCGTTTGTAACCTGAATTCTCTCCCTTCTGAACCAAGGTAAATAAAGCTGTCAGGGCTAGAGAATGGTATCCAATGACCAGAAGATGAAATATACTGGTCAATAGGAGTGTTACAGCAGCTGGACAGCAGGCAATGAGATGGAATGATAAAGGTAGTACAGAATGTGTACAGCTGGCTACAGTAACTCCTTAGAGAAAGATGAGACTTCTTTTGTTCATTTTGGAATTGAGTTGAGTGCTGATTAGGTAACGATGTGCTGTGATTTAGTTTCATGCTGTGTTGAGTTTAATAATACCACATTTACCAGGTGTCACATTCCACAGCTACCTAGCTAAAATCTGGTGCATTGGTCACTTCAGCATAAAAGTCACACCCAACAGATTATCATTAAGGCAAGCAAATAAACTCTGTAAACAGCGCAGCAGCACAACAAAATCCTCCTGGTTTGCACACTGCAATATACGAGCAACTTATACATCAGACCTTGTTGTACAGAGTAATTCTAGATATTCAAAAAAAAACATAAACACAAATGCTGGAAATCTAGAATGGAGATAGTAGTAGATGTCTGCAAGTAAATGTAATATTTCCATAGTCTGACCAGACCATAAGACTGCCATCTCATTAGAGACAACTAGTAGTGGTTTTGCCTAACGCATGGTGACCCTCAGGTTAGTGGAGAGGTTGAGAAGGAGGGTCCTTTATGGTAACTTTAGCTGGTGCAGGAATTGAACCCACTGCTGTTGGCATAACATTGCATTGTAAACCAGCCATCCAGTTACCTAAACCTCCACCACCTAGAAGGGCAAGGGCAAGGGAAGCATGGGAACACTACCATCTGCAAGTACCCCTCCAAGCCACTCACCATTCTGACTTGGAAATGTATTGCAATTCCTTCACAGTTAATTGGTCAAAATCCTTGAGCTGCCTTCCTAACAGCATTGTGGTGTCCCTACCTTCCCATGGACTGTAGCAGGTTCAAGAAAAGCTCATCACCACCATTGCTTTCTCAAAGGCAGTTAGGGATGTGCAATAAATGCTGGCCTAGCCAGTGAATCCCACAGCCTGTGCATGAATAAAATAAAGTCAAGACCAATCAGCAACTCAACAAGAATAGGATAAGGTAACAATTTGGAATGAGACCCTTCAATAATCAGCATTCATTTACTTGCACTGATTCCTAAACATTTAAATGATAATTATTATCCATCATTGGAAAATCAAAGAAGTGAAATTTATGTCCATAGTGTGACTGATTCTGGTGCTACTGATACCTCAGGCTGGCAAATGTGAGCCAGAACACCTCCAGCTAATGACAACGTGGCTTGTGTATAATGTGACCTGACTCTAAGAATGTAAATACACACATACCACATGAGCACCAGAACCATGCAGCATGCACACATTATGGTGCCTGTCAACTTCTGCCACTGACCTGATGCTCAATCTACCATTTAGGTCCTGTTAACATGTTTGCTTAAGCACTGCCATGCAGTTGGCTGAAGAATTGATGCCCCCGTCCATGTTATTTATTGGACCAGCTGTGGACTGTTCAACTGAGTAAATTTCAACAGAACTTGCTGTTGCAGTTTTAGTGCATGTATTGTGTTAAGTGTCATTGGAGAAATTTTCCAAACTGTATAGATTTAAAAGAGAATGGTACTAGGCATTGCCAAACAGACCAGAGAAACTGTAAGACCTATCAAGCTAGTTACGCTGGGCTGCACACTACAATCATGTTAAAGTGAGGACAATGCAAAGATCACATGCTGCCTGTCTCGATGTGTAATCCTGCCTTGTTTCTATTAGTTAACTATTTATATATCATATGCTGTTGAACAGAAGCAGCCTGATACCCTTTATTCTGCATTCTTTCAGGTTGAATGTGAGAATGCAGCTTATGTTACCATTCAGTGAAAAATGTTTGTCCCTGAATAGATCTGTTAAACAGATAGCGATAGTAGAATTTACATATTTTCTGAGCAGTAAATTTACATTGTCAGAAAATTCAAATCATCTTCCAACATTCTTTACTCATGCCATTAGAAAGGCATCAATCCTAATTAGACCCACAGTGCTTTATGGGTGAAAATGTAATCTTCTGCAGCTGATGAATCATTGCAGTGTGACTCAAAGCTAACAAACTGCCTTCTCCATCTCCTACCGACCAACCTCATCCTGCCCCCTTGACCTGTCCGTCCTCCCTGGACTGACCTATCCCCTTCCTAACTCCCTACCTACACTCACCTTTACTGGCTCCATCCCCGCCTCTTCGACCTGTTTGTTTCCTCTCCACCTATCCTCTCCTCTATCCCTCTTCTATCCGCCTCCCACTCTCTCCCTATTTATTTCAAAACCCCCTTCCCCTCCCCCTTTTCTGATGAAGGGTCTAGGCCTGAAACGTCAGCCTCTCTGCTCCTATGATGCTG